AAAAAGGAAAAGAAAAGAAAAGATCAGACAGCATGAAGCACCCTGAAAATGTTCTTGTTGCCTTTTCTGTGTAGTACTTCCTGTTCTCTTTTTCTTTTGGATTCTTTCACGGTTTGTCCCTACAGCTCTGCCTTTTCACTGTGCCTTTCAGCTGCGAGCCTAGCCAGGTCCGTGTGCTTCAGCACGAGGTGCACACACCCTCATCTGCCATAACAGCACACTTGCATGCTGTGAAAAGGATGACAGAGGTAAGGGGCGATGGTAAGGAGAGACAGAGAGTGGAGAGAGTGCAAGGGAAGACAAGGGGGGAGATGGTAAGGAGAGACAGAGTGGAGAGAGTGCAAGGGAGAGACACAGAGTGGAGAGAGTGCAAGGGAGAGACAGAGAGTGGAGAGGACAGTGTAAGGAAACATCAATGGAGACTCAGGAGTCGGTCTGTCCTTGGCAAAGAAGGGGACAAGGACGGTAGGGATGCAATTCGTGATGAGATGAAGACCTAGCTGAGGGCTTTCAGCAGACCGATTGTCACAATGGCTGGCCATAACCAAGCCCACGAAACACTCTCGGCAAATGGCATGCCAATTGCAGGCATGGACAAAAGAACAATATGCATCAGATGGGAGCATGCATTCATAAAATCCCTCGCTGCATAATGGACGTGTGATGTCTGGGTGCGAAGAGTGCGCACAGTCAGGAAAAGGGGGCCCAGGCCTCGTGACTCTAGAAACCTTGGCATTATCGTGACTCTGGCAAAGACGATGACACCTGCAGTCGAATGTACCAGTATCTGTGACCGTGCAGAGAAGAAGGCCACAGTGCGTTGACGCGATGCCATGCTCCAGTACTTGAAGCCCTCAACCACCTGAGAGTGGCACAGTTCAAGCTGGCAGACCCTCGTTGCAACTTGCACAACCTCCCGAGTCCCAACTGTAAAGCCTATTTCCCTGGTGTAGCTACAACCTTCTGCCCCTAGGCAGGGAAGCTTCACATCACACTGAACAGCCCTCATCGTGACTTGCATAACCTCATTTGTAAAGCCTTCCTCCCTGGTTTTTGTTGCTGCCTTCTGTGAAGAGTCAATAGCAGGTTTTACTCTACACAGCCTGAAGGAGCAACTCCAGAAGATTTACATGACACTGAAGGGCAATTGCAAGAACGACAGATGGACGGGAGCTGGTGGTCAATTGCAAGAACGACAGATGGACGGGAGCTGGTAGCAGCCAGACCACAGAGATTCGGGAGGTCCTTAACAAGACTCAAGGAATGGGGATCAGAGAGATGTTCATTCTTCCACGAATAGGAATGTGGATCACAGAGATGTTCATTCTTCCACGAACAGGATTAAGCACTGGGCGCTGGTGGACAATTTCTGTGTTACCCAAGTGATGCCCGGGATGGCCTGGGCTGCTCCKYATGTGGTGATTTCCAGATCGCCCCACGTGGTCTGCAGACTCTGCACCCTGCAGGGAAATTTGCAAGTCGACAATGTGATTTTCCAATCCCCGGATGTCTGGAGCTGCATCCTGCATGGGGGAATGCAGAGGATGACCCACACAGCAYGATGACATTACATAGAGTGCTACTAGTGTATGTATACTGAGCAACAACATGCTTGACCGGGCTAGTGGCCAACATAACAATTAGAATGTCATGAGACAGTTCAGTGAAAAATCTGCCATGTCTTTGACTTGTTTTTGGATAGATTTCACAAAMGGAACTTTCACACATTGGGAAAGTGAGCATGTTTGGGGGTGGAAAAAGAAAAAGAAGCATGCTTACCTTGCTCCAGAGTCCATTCTGAGCTAGCATGTTCAGAAAAGCCGCAGCAAA